GCTGGGTCCACCCTTCCCCCTCCCCCATAGCCTACTCTTGGAGGGATCTTGGTTTGAAGCCCCCTTCCACCCCTCCATTACTCACGGCCCTCTCGCCCCCCCTTTTGAGGGTGACTCCCCCAAGGACCAACCGCCAGCCTGCCCTTGCCCACAACCAGGAGCCCATGGCTTAGCAAACACCTCCCTTGTCTTCTCTCTCTCTCTCTCTCTCCACAAACCCTCTCTTGCTATCCCACAGGCCTTGGGATAAACCATCTTTTGGGGGCAGGCCAAGGAGCGCTGCCGAGAACACTCCATCCGCGGGACTCTTGTCTGAGGTTGCTGGGCCACCGGGGTAGCCTAGTAGCCGGCCTTCCTCTTCCTGCCAGTTAGAGCTATGGGACAGTGGAAGCCATGACCTCGGGAAGTGGCCAGCGCTCCAACCCTGGAGGCATTCAGGAGGAATTTAGACCACTGGTTCTTAACCTTGGGTTACTCAGGAGTTTTGCAACTCCCAGAAGCCTTCACCACCAACTGTGCTGGCTGGGGTTTCTGGGAGTTGCAGTTCAAAAACATCCGAGTAACAAAGGTTAGGGTTAGTTAGGGCCGTGGTGGCGCTGTGGGCTAAACCTCATAAGCCTGTGCTGCAGGGTCAAAAGACCAGTGAGCTCCAGTCATTTCTCCCAGCTCCCGCCAACCTAGCGGTTCAAAAGCATGTAAATGCGAGTAGATCAATAGGTGGGAAGGTAACGGCGTTCCGTGTCCAAGTCGCACTGGCCAAGTGACCACGGAAGATTGTCTGGACAAAACGCTGGCTCTATGGCTTGGAAACGGGGATGAGTACCGCCCCCTAGAGTCGGACACGACTGGACAAAAATTGTCAAGGGGAACCTTTACCTTTACCTTTAACAAAGGTTAAGAACCACTGATTTAGACCACCCTATGTCAGATCCGCTTTCCCTTGGATTCTTGCCTTGAGCAGGGGTTTGGACTCTTCAAGGCCCCTTCCCGCTCCATGAGTCTAGGATTCTACTCCTGAGCAAGCCTCTTCTCCTGCAAGCTAAAGTGACTTGTTTATTAAAAACAGGCTGGAAGACTGGCCATCTCCCAAAGATCTGTGTATCTGGAATCTGGCACCTGCTCCATGTAGAAAAACATATCATGCCCCATGGGATCAACTGGCTGTTAAGCAAGTTCACATGTTAGCTGCTAATAAATTCAGACTTGCAATGCCAACATTTGACATCAGGATACCAGCCATCAGAGCTTAGTTCTGAATGCTTTCTCTTGATTTTAATTCTGAAATATCTGGCTTGCATCAAACTCGGTGGTTAGGCTTTTTACAATACTACCTGAGGGACCATACCCTGGGATTAAAAAGCAATTTGTTGTTTCTTTTTAAAGAGAAAAGGGTCCCAGTTGTGGATACAGTTGTGTTGTTACAAGTGCATTATATGGATGTGTAGCCTAAGCGTCCATATTTCAGCCTAGATGGCCGTGATACCTCCACTCCACAAGACAAGGCAACAGTTGTGCAGTGGTGATGATAAGATTAGGATGTACACCAGTCTGCATGCTGTTATATAAGTAAAAATAAATAAGGAAATACATACGTATATATTCCCTGCAAAAAACAAAACAAACCACCTTCAATTTCTCAGTTGTTTGGCTGAGTGAAAGAGTGCCTGGAAGAGTGAGGGCAGAAAGTATTGCTGTGTGATATTCTCATCTATCCAGTATGGAGAACTTTATCTTCTGAAAAAGAAAACAGCTCATAGGGGTGAGATTACATGGAGTAGGGAAGAGTGAAAGTTATAGCAGTTTGAGCTCCTGTCTGGTCCATTACTGTCTACATTAACCAGTAGCAGCTTCCAAAAAAAGAGAGTCTTTCCCATCACAATCTTCAGGACATTGGCTCTTTTGCATGTAAAGTTTATGCTCTGCCCCATTGTTAGCCTTTTTGTGGGCTGAAAATTGAGAACTGTTGTCGCTGTAGAACTTGGAGGAGCTGATTACAAAGTCTTGTTCCTCATTTCTGCAGTTTTGCTGCCTAAAGCTAGTTCAGTCTCCCCAAATATATAGATGTTGGCCTCAATAATCCCAGTGGCATCTTGTTCCCAGTATCACTTTACTCGCATGGGCTGGCTGGCATCTTCCTTTGTGCCAGTGAGGAAAGTGATAGAATTTAACCAGCAGCTTGAGCTGGCACCAGAAGCCTGCCTAGTGCCCTCCATTTAAATGCAGGAGCAAGTGATACATTTATTCAGTCCCTGAAAAAACAAACTGACAGCTATCTTTTGGTGATGATTACTCTTCCTCAGGCTGTACATCAAGATCTTGTGTATAGTTCAGAAAAAAATATATAAAGAGTCTCAACGTTTCGTGGCCAAGCTATGGTTCATGGCAGCAAGTTTTCTTAAGGTGACTTGATAGTTTGCAAACTGCTTGTGGGTGGTGGTGGTTTGGAAACTTCTCCCCAAGAAGCATTTTGGAATCTATCTGCCATCTCTTGAAACAAAAGAATCACCAAGCAAGGTGCACACGCCCCCCCCCACAACTGCCTTCTTTTGAAACTCAAGGTTTATATTTGGCTGGGGGGTGGACAGCCACATGACAGCCCTCTTGTAGGTTCCTTTTAAAATGTATCTGAGTGACTTGGAATTAGGGCAGACAGGTAACTGGAAGATCCCCCTGTGTGGGCTGGTTGGTTTGAGCCTGGTCTGCTGTGCTGTGCAAGCAGGATAAGTCCTGGGGAATGCAGTCAATTCAAAAGAGGATGTTGTGGAGTGTCCTTCTCTTAACACCAGAGCATCTCCCAAAGATCTGTGTATCTGGAATCTGGCACCTGCTCCATGTAGAAAAACATATCATGCCCCATGGGATCAACTGGCTGTTAAGCAAGTTCACATGTTAGCTGCTAATAAATTCAGACTTGCAATGCCAACATTTGACATCAGGATACCAGCCATCAGAGCTTAGTTCTGAATGCTTTCTCTTGATTTTAATTCTGAAATATCTGGCTTGCATCAAACTCGGTGGTTAGGCTTTTTACAATACTACCTGAGGGACCATACCCTGGGATTAAAAAGCAATTTGTTGTTTCTTTTTAAAGAGAAAAGGGTCCCAGTTGTGGATACAGTTGTGTTGTTACAAGTGCATTATATGGATGTGTAGCCTAAGCGTCCATATTTCAGCCTAGATGGCCGTGATACCTCCACTCCACAAGACAAGGCAACAGTTGTGCAGTGGTGATGATAAGATTAGGATGTACACCAGTCTGCATGCTGTTATATAAGTAAAAATAAATAAGGAAATACATACGTATATATTCCCTGCAAAAAACAAAACAAACCACCTTCAATTTCTCAGTTGTTTGGCTGAGTGAAAGAGTGCCTGGAAGAGTGAGGGCAGAAAGTATTGCTGTGTGATATTCTCATCTATCCAGTATGGAGAACTTTATCTTCTGAAAAAGAAAACAGCTCATAGGGGTGAGATTACATGGAGTAGGGAAGAGTGAAAGTTATAGCAGTTTGAGCTCCTGTCTGGTCCATTACTGTCTACATTAACCAGTAGCAGCTTCCAAAAAAAGAGAGTCTTTCCCATCACAATCTTCAGGACATTGGCTCTTTTGCATGTAAAGTTTATGCTCTGCCCCATTGTTAGCCTTTTTGTGGGCTGAAAATTGAGAACTGTTGTCGCTGTAGAACTTGGAGGAGCTGATTACAAAGTCTTGTTCCTCATTTCTGCAGTTTTGCTGCCTAAAGCTAGTTCAGTCTCCCCAAATATATAGATGTTGGCCTCAATAATCCCAGTGGCATCTTGTTCCCAGTATCACTTTACTCGCATGGGCTGGCTGGCATCTTCCTTTGTGCCAGTGAGGAAAGTGATAGAATTTAACCAGCAGCTTGAGCTGGCACCAGAAGCCTGCCTAGTGCCCTCCATTTAAATGCAGGAGCAAGTGATACATTTATTCAGTCCCTGAAAAAACAAACTGACAGCTATCTTTTGGTGATGATTACTCTTCCTCAGGCTGTACATCAAGATCTTGTGTATAGTTCAGAAAAAAATATATAAAGAGTCTCAACGTTTCGTGGCCAAGCTATGGTTCATGGCAGCAAGTTTTCTTAAGGTGACTTGATAGTTTGCAAACTGCTTGTGGGGGGTGGTGGTTTGGAAACTTCTCCCCAAGAAGCATTTTGGAATCTATCTGCCATCTCTTGAAACAAAAGAATCACCAAGCAAGGTGCACACTCCCCCCCCCACAACTGCCTTCTTTTGAAACTCAAGGTTTATATTTGGCTGGGGGGTGGACAGCCACATGACAGACCTCTTGTAGGTTCCTTTTAAAATGTATCTGAGTGACTTGGAATTAGGGCAGACAGGTAACTGGAAGATCCCCCTGTGTGGGCTGGTTGGTTTGAGCCTGGTCTGCTGTGCTGTGCAAGCAGGATAAGTCCTGGGGAATGCAGTCAATTCAAAAGAGGATGTTGTGGAGTGTCCTTCTCTTAACACCAGAGCATTAGAAGAAATTGATATGAATGTGTTTCACTTTCTTCCTGGCAGACAGTCAACTGGCAGCATCACTGAGACCTTTAAAACTAGCTTTGCTGCCTGAAAAAAACTTTTGAAGGGGCTGTTTTTAGGCCCCCCCTCTTTCTTCATTTGTCTGAAGTTCCCTTCAGTTCCTTCTTAGTTCTCAGGTGATGTGTTTGACTCTGGCCCAGCTGCTTGAAATTAACAGCTGTAGTTATTTGGGATCACTCCTTTTATGTTCAGATGTCCTCTAAACTGTGTACTGCCTTTATTTAAATGCCTGGCAAGACTCTTCATGAAGATCTGCAAGATAACATCTCTCTTCCCAGAGAGGATTCAGTTTGTTATCTGAAGTTGTGCTGGAAATTTCACTACTTGCAGCATTTTGAATGAACTGTGTGTTTTTTTTTAAATTAATCCACTATTTAGCTTTCACATCAGTACACAATAATCAAGAATGTGGTAGCATAGATGATCTTGGCCTTTATCTCACCCACATATCCTTCACAAGGATATTTTCTAGTCCTTTCCTAGCTCCCATTTTGGGTATTTTTCTGATTTCTTCACTGTGTTTTGACTGATGATTGAACTACAGTGTAGAAAATCTTTAAGTTTTGTTTTCCTTATTGTCAACCATAAATGATACAGTCTTTTGTAATCATTTCTACTGTATTGTTAAAGCTTAGTTATAATTCTGCGGTTGTACTTTCTTTAATCGTCTTCATTAGTTTTTTGGAGTCATTGCGATGTTTTTTCCACTAATTTACACTCCTCTTTCATCAAAATCTAGACTAAGTTTTCATATGATATATTCTGCATACATATTGAACAAATGAGCGTAAAATACACTTTCGCCTGACACATTTGTCAGTGTGAAGGAATTCTGTTTCCTATTCTGTCTTAATAGTGGCCTCTTATCCAAATATCTGGATCATCAAACTTTAAGGTCTTTTTGGGAATGATCTCCACTGTAAATTTGCTGTATGATCCTTGGTACCTCTAATCCAGCTTGAACATCTGCCATTTCTCATCCCATATATGAGTGGTGATGTTACCAGATAGGTGGGATATAAATAGAATAAATAAATGAATAAATGAATAAATAAAAATAAATATATAGTAAATAATTTTTGTTGTAAAAACTTGAGTAGTTTGGCTTGCCTGTTATTTTAATGGGGTAATCCTGAACTCTTCAGTGTTTCCTTTGTAATTGGAATAGATATGGAATGTTTTTGTCTGTGGGCCATTGTTTTGTGTTCCATGTTTGTTGACATAATTCTTGTTAGAATTTGGATTTCTCCAGTCCTTGTGACTCGAAACCATGGTGACTACCTCAAAAGAATCTATCATCCTCACAGGTCTTCTGTATCGGTTTTTCACACATTGTCCCCACCTCCCAGATCAGATGACATATTTCTCTGTTGATCTTTCAGCATTTCTTTCTTTAAATTCCTGCTTGATTTCTTGGATCTGCTGGAAGAGATGTCTTCTTTGGCTGGGTATTATCTTGCACTGGTTATTGTAATAATTCTTTTCATGCCTACATGTCAGGTAGACAAAAAGTTGCATTTTGAATTCAGATAATCTTTCCCTCACCCTTTACATTTGTTTCTCTTCTCTCATTTACTATTTTAAGGATCTATTGGTCATCCATTGAGGGTTTTCTTTTCTTTGGGCTATAGGAATAGTCCCCTGGCATTCCTTTCTGATCGTGTTTCTAGTCAATTCATTGTTCTTCTTGCTTGCAGTTTAGTTACATCTAACAGTGTAGATGGTTTTGTTTTATGGACTTCAGCTTCATTTGAGTTTTCATTTAGTATTATGATTATTGTGTATTCTTAATAAGCTGTACTCTTTTTTATATACATATTATGTGTTCATGGTCTGCACCACCATCTGCCCCCTTTTTTATATTAGCAGTGCTCGGTCTGGACCACGGTCACTAGTTCTGGGCTTGTCTTTTAAGGAGAACAGATCTTTTCATATTCTGCTTCCCGCTATATTGGGATTTTTCTGTTGAGCATCTGTGATTCCATGTGTACAATTATCTGCCTGAAGCAGATATTTGCAATAAACAAATCATTGCTCTCCCAGCATTCTGTGAGTTGCTCTTCTCTTTGTTTGCAGCTTCTCAGGCAAATTCATGAATAAAGTAGGTGAGAGATAGTGGTGGTTGGCAGGACATGTAACTCGGGAAGGTGAGTTGCTGTTAGGTACTATCAGATCACGTTCAGCTTAGGGCAACCCTACGAATCAGGTTCTGTCATGAACAGCCTTGTTCCGATCTTGCAAACTCAGGGCTGTAGCTTCCTTGAGTCAATCCATCTCATGTTTGGTCTTCCTTGTTCTTACTATGGAAGGAGGGGCGGGGACAGAGAAAGGAAGAGCAAAATATTGTAGCACTTCAGAGGGTGAAGTTTTTCTTTCAGTGTGGCCTTTCGTGGATAAAAATCGGATTCTTCAGACAAGAAGTCTGAAGAGATTAGTTTTGATGGATGAAAATTCATGTTGAAATGAATTTGTTCAGCTTTAAACTACCACAGTCTATTCTTCCTTTTTTCTTTTTCGTCTTCTTGTGCTATAGCCAAAGTATGATTGCCTCTTTTGTTTTTAGAGAGACCAAGGTGAACAGTCATAATGGACAAGGTCTAGCCTTGGAATAGTGAGGTATCTGGCATCACTATTGTGCAGGGGACTTTCAGGGAGTTGCAATGAACAGAGACCTTCTGCCAGGTTGCAGCCTTCCTGATGAAGGATGAAGCTGAAAAATTTCTCCGTGGCTGCAGTTGATGTTGAATATAACGGTGCATTTTCTGATGGAAGTTGAACTGCTTGGAATATAAGGCCCCAGTGCTTTGGCTTTTGCCCTTTACAGGCACAGTGGAGATTCTGACCAATGATATCATTGGATGTGAGGCAGTTTGAGCAATACTTCCTATAGGAATGGGCTCAGACTGCAGGGAAGCCCATAGTGTCCTTTCCTCTATGGGGCAAAGAGCAGGCAAAAGGGTTGTGAGTGTCCGTAAGTACTCACAAAAAGTGGAGAGAACTCTTTAAGGATACTTGGAGCAGTGACTTTTCTATTGAACTCATTGTTTCTATTGTACAGGATATTGCCCTTTGTTTTCAAATACTGTAGGTGCTTGCTTAGAGAAGATTTGCTTAGCAGAAGGTATAACAAAGGCACCTGCTTGGATGGGAATGGTGCTGGCAGGGTGTGTCTCTGTTGCCTCAGCCCTCATCAACTCTCTTCTCCTTATTACAGTTCCAAAGCTGATGATTTGTCCACTGCAATTCTCAAGCAAAAGAACCGGCCCAATCGGTTAATTGTTGACGAAGCAATCAATGAGGACAACAGTGTGGTATCACTGTCCCAGGTGAGTTCAGCAGAACAGCAGGAAATCCTGTCCCTCTTCTTTGACGTTTGCTGATAGTTAACCTAACCCAGGACAAGAGGGTCTTTGGTTTGCTTCAGGTTGTGTTCTGATAACCTGCAACTCTCTGGGTTTTCAAGCAACCTCATCCTTTTACTCAGAGTTGCCAGGGGTTGAACCTGGTACCTGCTGCATACAGAGCATGTGCTTGGCCACTGCACTGGGCCCCCTTTCCTATGTTGTTGTTTAGTCATTAAGTCATGTCCTACTCTTCATGACCCCATGGACTAGAGCATGCCAGGACCTCCTGTCTTCCACTGCCTTCCGGAGTTGGATCAAATTCATGGTGGTAGCTTTGATGACACTGTCCAGCCATCTTGTCCTCTGTCGTCCCCTTCTCCTCTTGCCTTCACACTTTCCTAACATCAGGGTCTTTTCTAGGGAGTCTTGTCACGAGAGGGCCAAAGTATTGGAGCCTCAGCTTCAAGATTTCTCTATGAATTGTGCTATTGTGTTCTTGCATGGAGCCCGGGGGGGGGGGGGAGATCTGCCAACAGAAAGGGATAATGAAGAAGGATTGTACCTCTGATTTGCGCCTCAATTCCAGGAGTGCACAACAGCCCCAGTAAAGGCTTTGCAATCATGTCTGCCTCATGAATAAGTCACATGATGGTTCACCGTAGGCTAGTAACACTTTGGAACTGGGAAAAGAGTCTTGAAGCTTGTCTAACTGAACTCAGTGCAGGACTTGCAACACACAGTACCTCATAGCTGGTCAGCCTCTTCTGAAATACTTCTAAAGGAGAGCCATCCACCCCTTGAGGCCGGGTACCATAGCTTTCTTGATTGCTTCTGTTAGCCCGTGCCAAGGTGCAACAGTCCATCTTCAGATTTTAGTGGGATGTGAATATTGTGGCTTGTGTTCTCTCAAAATGCCGTCCTCTACAACAGCAGTGGCCACTGTAGGCACATCAAGGGCTTAATTTTCTCTTCCTGGGATCCTTTGAAGACCACTCAGATCTTCCAAAAATGGCAGTTGTGTATGTGTGCGTGGGTTTTTGTTTTTTGTGTTTTTTTGGCAAAATGTGCAAATTTTTTGCTCTTTTTTTTAATTCCAAGGGGCCCTGAAACCTATTTAAAACAGAACTTTGCAACTTGTGGAGGCTTTCAGGGGCAGTAATGTGCCATGTCTTGCTGGGTAGAAAAAGCAGAGGGGCAACTCTGGATCCCAGAGGGTACAGATGCCACCTTGGGTGCTGGACATAACACCAGGGCCAAATTTGTCCCCATTGCTGTACGCCTTAATAATTTGCAGCCTGATCCTGCACAGGCTTATAGAGAAATTCATATCCCCCAACAGGGAATTTTTTCAGCTTGCAACTTTATAATTCCTAGTGCACAGTGACAGTTTGAAAGCAGCAGTGTTGACTAAATCAGGGTGCTTGGCTTGCTCAAATAATTTAAAAACCTAAGAATTGTCCTGCTGGATCAGGCCAAGGGTCCCTCTAGTCCAGCTTCCTGGACCTCACAGTGGCCCTACCAGATGCCTCTGGGAATACACGAGACAATGAGATAGCTGTCTCCTGATACCCCTCTCCTGCATCTGGCATTTTGAAGTACCTTCCTTTTAAGCCTGGAGATTATACATCCCCTTCATGGCTTGTAAGATGCAATTAACTTTTCCTCCAGAGATCTATCCAATCCCCCTTTAAAGGCATTTAGACCGGATTCCATCACCACATCCTAAGGCAAGAAGTTCCACAGACTAATAACATGCTGGGTAAAGAAATATTTTCTTTTATCCTCTCACAGCGCTCCATTGGAGTGGATGTCCCCTGGGTTTTGTATTGCGTGAGAGGGAAAAGAGCTTCCCTCTATCCACTTGATCCATCCCATGCAGAATTGTATACGTCTCAATCAAGACCCCCTTCAGGCGCCTTTTCTCCAGACTAAACAGCCCCAAACGCTGTCGCCTTTCCACATCAGGGAAGTGCCCCAGCCCAGTCATCATTTGAGTCTCTCTCTTCTGCACCTTTTTCGAGTTCCACTATGTCTTTTTTGAGGTGCGGCGACAAGAACTGTACACAATACTCCAGGTGTGGCGTTACCAGTGTTTTGTACAATGGCATTAGAATGTTGGCTATTTTATTTTCAATCCCCTTTTTAAATGATCCCTAGCATGGAATTGGTCTTCTTCACTGCTACCGCATACTGGGTTGGCACTTTCATTGAGCTGTCCACCAGCATACCAAGATCTCTTTCCTGACCTGTCATGGACAGCCCAGAAGCCATTAGCTGATAACTAAAGTTTTGATTGTTTGCCCCAATGTGCATTTACATTTTCTTATATATGATTCAAACATTTTGCCTGTCAAAAGAGGAGGCAGAGAAACAGAACAAGATGTGTTTAGTTTTGTTCTTGTGACAAGCTACTATTTATTTGGTGCAATCCTGCCTATTTCTTTGTGCAAAATGGTTGTTTAGGGAGGTAAACTTTAATAAAATACTGATAAAATTATCTCATTAAAATAGCACTAAGAGAAAGAAAAATCAGTGAAAACACAGAATGAAAAACACAAACATCCGACTAATTAAACTCCCTTTTAGCAACCACCAAAATGATGAAAAATGGAAATAACATTGGAGGAGGGCTAACATTGGGCCTGTCTTCAAAAAGGAGGAACATGGGGGAACTACAGACCAGTTTCCCAGGGAAGATTCTGGAGCAGTTTGTAAAGCAGCCATTCTCAAGCATCTTGGAAACAGCTCAGTCATAACTAGAAGCCAATGTGGATTTGTCAAGAACAAACTAATCTCATCTTTCTTTTGATTGGGTAGCCGCTCTGGTAGACAGCAGAAAGGAGAAGGATCTTGGAATTGTTGTAGATCACAAGCTGAATATGAGCCAGTAGTGCTATGTGGCTGCAAAAAAGACCAATGTTATTTTAAGATGTATTAACAGAAGTCTAGTCGCCAAATCCTGTGAGGTACAATTTTCCCTCTGTTCAGCATTGGTTAGGTGTCCTCTGTGTCCAGTTTTGGACACCACATTTTCAGAACAATGCCAACAAACTCATATTCAGAGGAGGGCAGTCAGAATGATCATATGCAAGACCACACGTCTCAAGGATCAGCCACAGGATAACAGGGGACTGGAAAGTAAGCCCTGTGAGGAAAGACTGAAAGAACTGGACAAGTTTAGCATTAGAAAGGAAGACTGAGGGGACATGAAAGGTACATACAGAGTTGTGGCAGGATCTGTTCTCAAGCATCCCAGAGGCATGCAGGGCACGGAACAATGGGCTCAAGCATCATGGGCTCAAGCATCAGGAAGCCAGATTTCAGCCAACCGTCGGGAAAAAAATCCTAGCTGTTGTGAAGCCAATGACCTCAGGAGGTGGTGTGTGCTCTAATGCCAGAGGCATTCAAGAGAAAATTGGGCAACCATCTCTCGGATCTGCTTTGATTTGGATTCCTGCACTGAGCAGAGCTTTGGACTTTATGGCCTTCTAGGCCCCTTCCAACTATGACTCTGTAAATCTGAGAACAAAACTAGATGTGTTTGGAAGTCCAAAGCTGTGCTTGAATGAAATTGTCTTCATCTGTCAGGAGAAGGCGAGGAACTACTTTTGAGGATGGAATTCCAAAGTTCTTTGCCCAATATGTAAATACCTTGTTCTGCAGGGTTTCCTGGAAAGATATTTTTATGCTGTTCACTCCACTTGGAATCTAGCTTGTAGGTGTGGTGCTTTATCAGGATGTAACGTAGAGACATCCTTCAGACAGGAATACCAGCTTAAACTGCCCTGACCGAAGCCAGCCCCACCCTGCCTAGCTTCTTGTCTGTGTATGTGTACGTGCTCTTATCTGGATCCTTCTGCTGAGCTAGTACAAAACACAGTGCATTCTGTCTCTTTCAGGTCAGTCGAAATAACGTTTCTAAAACCCGGCATATTTTGATCGCGCTCTTTTTTACTGCTCACTGTTTGCAGGCCAAAATGGATGAATTGCAGCTGTTCAGGGGAGACACAGTCCTGCTGAAAGGGAAGAAGAGAAGGGAGGCAGTATGCATTGTCTTGTCGGATGACACCTGCTCGGATGAGAAGATCCGTATGAACAGGGTTGTTCGAAACAATTTGCGCGTGCGCTTGGGTGATGTGATCAGGTGAGGGCCGCGTGTGCCACTATGCATGGGGGAACGCGGAGGTGTATCTGGACTTCTCCCAAATGTGTGGCCGTCCCTTGGTCCCCATCCTATTTGTAGAAGGAATATTGGTGCTAATAAGGGTCAGTGACAATTCAGCTCAATGAAATAGGAGTACCTAAGTCTTTAGGCAGAGCAGAAGAGGAAACACCTACGAAACAGACACATAGAATATTCTGCAAAGTAGAGTTGGCATATCGAAGCTTTCAAAGCAAAGGACATCTCACTCTAGTCTGAGATCGGAGAAGACCTCTTTGCTGTATTCTCAATAACGAATATCCCCTGCAAAATTGGCGCTCCTTTCCTGAAGAGCTCTCCTTCAGCTTTGCCATTTTCCTGTCCTAACAGACCAAAGGTCCCCAATGACTAGAACCCTTTAACACAAGCATTTTCCCCACCAGTTTGATTAAATTAATCAAATTTGTTTACGCTGTAACCTGTAAATTTGGAAGACTGGCGTTTAAAGTATACTGTCCCGCCCCTTTTCACTGGAGAGGAGTGATGGGCATTTCGGGCAAAAGACCAGAGGCTAGACACTCTGCGAGGAAGGTCTGGAAGTCATACAACTGATTCAAGTATTCTGTGTGAGCCCTGGAAGATCCTGTTTTATGGGTGAAGGCCAGGATCTTTTGGCCTGTGTGGGTTGTATGCACTGCTCTAATTCCAATCAGCAAGTCTCTGTTTCTCCATGAGATCCTCTGCAGTATGTCTGTGACTGCGGGGGTGCGGGGCGGGGGGGGGAGAGACAGCCACCCATTCCGACAGAAGCTGTGCAGTACAGCTTCGGTATCCAGCTGGATCTGGAATCCAGCTGAATTTTGATCAGTTAGATTCACATAAGGTCACCTGGGCTTCAGACTGATGTATTTATCAGTTCCCTCAGTGACATTGTCCCTCCTCTATCTTGAACTGAAGAAGGAGCAGCTAGTCTGGCAGTTACATAAAAAGGGGAATAAGCCTTTCCGTCAAGGCTTAGAAGCTGTTCATTCTCCATGCCAACAGCTGGGGTGGGGTGGCGGTGGGGCGGTGGCCAGGGAACAGTCCTTGCAGTGACATGAGGCTCCATGACCATCCTTCTTTGCTTTTCAGCATCCAGCCATGTCCAGATGTGAAGTATGGCAAACGTATCCATGTGCTTCCAATTGATGATACTGTGGAAGGGATCACAGGCAACCTGTTTGAGGTCTACCTCAAACCGTACTTCCTGGAAGCCTACAGACCAATCAGAAAAGGTAATTGCATGGTGTGGCTTAACCAGTAAGGAGGCGCCTCTGGGCAAATGAGTCTTGAGAGCTATAGAACATTACATCTGGTTTTGGAAAAGCCGTCTTGTTCCATCCCGAAGGGGAAGGCTCATGGTCCAGTGAGCCAGACCTTCTCTATCCCTGATCCTAGCGTCTTGTTTCAAAGCCAAATAGTGCTTGTGAGGGTGCGGTTCTATGCCTAAGCAAGGGCTACATTCCTCACCTGTCCTGCTGTTAAAACCTATTTATTTAAATTATTTTTATCCCACCTTGGACCCAAGGCAGCTTACATCATTAAAAAGACAATATTTAAAAGCTAAAAACTGCAAATATACAGATCTTTTAAAAGAAATAAAGTATTTTTGTTTGTTTGATTGATTTATATGCTCCCAGTCTGGCAGCCAAGGCCAATCTGGGCAGTTTACAAGAACTAAACAGAAAACAATAAAACAAAATAAGACAACATCAATAAATTAAAGAGTGCAAAACAAAATACCTTAAAATACAGTAGAAGACATAGTGAAATACAGTACATTACTTTTAATAGCATAAAAATATGGTGGTATGTTAAATGTTATGGTTCTTCAATGTTTCTGATAATTGTTGGAATAGATCAGCAGTGCATGTAGAAGAATGTTACAAGAGCCAGCAGCTGAGGAGGAGAAATGGTCAGATGGATAGCCACTTGGGCCTAGGCTAATTTTTTGTTGCTCATCCTTTTTTAGATCTATAGGCAGACTAGAATTCTTAGGCTTCCTTGGCTTTTTCCCCCCAAGCCAACTTCTTGCTGCTTCTTCCTTTTCCATCTTTACTAGAAAATAGAGTCTGGTGAGACATCAAAGTTACTTGTCACATTTTGAATAATCAAGTAATAAACACTTATCCATAAATCAGATCCTAGGGCACTCCCAGAAGAGTATAGCAGACAGACATAGCTGTTCCACAATGTTCATCTTATTCATTTATCACCTCCCGATCTTTGGTCAGCATGCTTAGCTCCACCTCTTCATATCATCACTGTTTATGTTAGTATTATATTAAAAACGGCAAATCAAATAAATACTAAAACACATTTAAAACAACAATGCAGAACAACCCACTTAAAAAACCCTCTCAACCACCCGTCATTAAGGAAAAGCCTTTCTGAAAAGAAAGAACTTTGCCTTCTTGCAGAAGGACAGCCAAGAGGGGGCCAGCCTGGGCCTCCACTGGGAGGGAGTTCCAGAGTCTCTAGAAGCAGCCATGGAGAAGGCCCTCTCTCCTGTGTCCCCACCAAGTGCACCTGTGAGGGTGGAGGGACTGAGAGAAACGCCTCTCCGGATGACTTTGACACCCAAGCAGGCTCGTAGAGAGAGGAGGGGGGGTCTTTTAGATCGGTTGAACCCAAGCTGTTTAGGCTTTGTAGGTTAAAACCAGGACTTTGAATTGTGCCCAGGAATGGTTTGGCAGCCAGAGGAGCTGTTGTCACAGGGGATTTCTAGGTTCCCTTGTGTCCAACCCCGGTGAGCAATCTGGCTGCGGCATTTTGGACACTCTGGAGTTTCCAAACACTTTTCAAAGGCACCCCCACGTAGAGTGCTTTAAAGTAATCCAGCCGAGATGTAACTAGGGCATGTGTCACCATGGCCAGATCAAACCTCTCAAGAGACGGGTGCAGCTGGCACACTAGTTTTAACTGTGGAAAGGCGCTCTTGGACACCGCTGAAACCTGGGCATCTAGGCTCAGAGATAACTCCAGGAGCCACTCCCAGGCTGCGCACCTGTAGCTTTTTTATTCCCCCCACCCACCCCTTTGGCAGTGCCAAAGGAATGTGAACCTCTGTTTGGAAGCTGCAAAGAGAGCAGGACTCCGGCGCAGGGGAAATGCCCCTGAGCCTTGTTATCAGGTGTCCCAAAACCTTTCCTTGAATAACTGGGTACTTCCACAGATGGCGTCCATTACCTGGGCTTTGCCAGAAGGGCAAAGGAAAGTTAGATCACAGCACTCCTTTGCAGCAGAGTGTTGGTTCTTGGTAGGGACAGGAAGCGTTTGAGTTCTGGTGCTGCTTGATACTGAGGGGCAGGGAACCTGCACACCTCCTCTGTCATGCCGTCTCTCAGAAAGCACTATCAGTCAAAGTGATGCAGGCAGCAGTACTTACAGGAAGTGAATTCTCTTGAGCTGAATGGGATTTGCCCCTGAGTAATCACCCTTACGATTGCACTGTAAGTTAGACAATTCCCACTTGTAGTACAAGGGTAATAGTGCAGACGGCATGAAGAGCACTTTGTGAGGTTCAGGGGCAATCCCATCTGTGAAGTGTCTTGAATACCCGAAGATGCTACAGGAATGTGCAAAACTGATATATAGATCTTCCTGACAATGGTGTTTAGCAAAGCCTTTTGGGATGAAGGTTTTGTTTGTTTGTTTATTTGTTTGTTTATTTATTTATTTATTTATTTATTTATTTATTTATTTATTTATTTATTTCCTGCCTATCTAGTCGATTAAGACTAGGCAGATGTCTGTTTTTCTGTTGTGGCCCTTTCTGCCATTTCTTTGAACCCTTGGTGAGACTCAGGGCTGCTAGAGCCACCTAGAATGGTCGTTTGACCAGATAGGTGGGGTATAAATACAATAAATTAAATTAAATTAAATTGCCTTGTATCCTGGTTCTGTAGGAAAGGAAATGGTTCTACTGAAAGTTTTGCATGGCTCCTCAGTTTCATGCTTTGTTGCCTTGAGGAATGGGGAAGCTACGTGGCAGAGCGTGCCCTCTTCAGAAGTGGGTGCCGTCCCTTAGTCCTCACCCTTGTGTCTTGGTCATTTCAGGAGACATCTTTCTGGTGCGTGGAGGGATGCGTGCAGTGGAGTTCAAGGTGGTGGAGACAGACCCCAGCCCCTACTGCATTGTTGCTCCAGACACTGTGATTCACTGTGAGGGAGAACCTATCAAGCGAGAGGTAAGTGGAGCTGGCTTCTGTCCTTGGGGACAGCCATAAGGTAAGACAGGAGCGGTACTGTTGCGGCTGAGGCTCAAAAGGGACGGCAGGGCCCTGTTGGAGAAGGGAGGTTTTTGCTGTTCTCACAATGGCCCTGCCAAAGCAACCACATAGTATGTTCTTTCTGCAGCTGTGTTCCCTTGCCATCAGTGCCTTGTGTGGCTGAAGTAGTTTTGGGCAGCCTTGGCCTGTTGTCCTATGATGTGGGCAGAGCTCCCAATGGAGAAGGCCACTTTCTTAGCACCTGTATCCCACCTGGGAGTGTTGGGGTTACTTTGAAAGAAGCTCACCGTGTTAGGGCTGGTGCATGATAGAAGGCTGGTCCCTGAAAACCCAGTAACTTTGTGTGGAACCTAGAGCTTCTGAACGATTAGACAAGACGGCCATTCGGTTTGGACCTGTAGATGCTTTGTTCCCTTACCCTGTGTCCGCTGCCAGGATGAAGAGGAATCTCTCAACGAAGTGGGATATGATGACATCGGAGGCTGCCGAAAGCAACTGGCTCAGATCAAGGAAATGGTGGAGCTGCCACTCAGGCACCCCGCTCTCTTTAAAGCAATTGGTGTGAAGGTGGGTGTGTGGCTTTCCGAGGCATGCCTCTGGTCTCGCTCTGCTAAAGGTTGGCCTGTGCTCTGCATGGGTGGATGACATGCCCTGTAGGAGTGGTCGTACTGTGCTGAGGTGTTTAGTGTCGAACCTCGAACAGTGTCTGCTGCCTAAAGCTAAGCTCCAGGAGACTGACCCCTGTGAGCTGCTTGGCTCAGGTGTGTAGGTTCAGTGTTCAAATTCTAAACAAACCTGTACTCTTCCAGCCTCCCCGTGGAATCCTGCTTTATGGTCCACCAGGTACTGGGAAGACCCTGATTGCCCGGGCGGTAGCCAATGAGACAGGAGCTTTCTTCTTCCTGATCAATGGTAAGTTTGAGGCAGTGGCTTCCTACTAAGGTGTTAAGTGTGGCTTCCCTAAGGGAAGAGGCCTTAGGGAGAGCAGGTGGTTATCTCTGATGGGTGGTTTCTGGGGAGGAGGCTTTTGACAAGAGGTCCGTTCACTTCTCAGAAAGCAAGGCAACTCATTTTAAAACCATGTCTCCATTTCAACATTTGCCTCTGTTCTGTTGCTGGATGATGCTGAAGTGTAGTAGAAGTTCTTTCCCTGCAATTTTGAGCAGTCCAGGATCCACCTGAAGAGTTAGTTTTTGTGACAGGTTTCTAAGGGTGACTTCCTTTCTTGCCGGTGGGCAAAGAGAGTTCCTCTGCTCTCCTCTGCTTCCCTCTACAGAGCACCCGCCCCACTGTTTGAGCGTCACGTCAAAGGACCTGTGAAATCTGAGGGGGTGGGGGGAGAGGATGATTAAGCCTTTCATGTATTTGTCAAATCAGTGACTGACTCTCCCTGTTTTGCATTTAGACAGTTTTTAATTCAGTTTACTATGTTGCTTACTTTGTAGAACAAAAATTAAAATCCCTGAGTGAAAATATAGTGGAATGCTACAACTGTACATCAGAATGCTTCTTCAGGAAACAGAATTCTCAGTAGGAAGTGGGGGGAATTTCATAACACAAAGCAAGTTTAGAATTACTTGGTCTGATTCAGTTTAAGAACTCATATCTACCCTTGCTCAGGGGGCATCCACATTCTTCCCTTGGGCTCTTGTGTGTTTATGGAAAGCCTTGTCTGGCTTGCTTGTCTGCTGTGCATCTGTCACCTTGGAAACCTCAAGGTAACCTTAAAGCCTCTAAAGGGAATACTCGGTTGTATTCACTGCAAAAAAGTTCTCAGTGAACATCAGGTGGAGACTTTTTAGGGGTCTGATGTCTGACGCTCCTCCCCCCAATCCAGTTTAACAGCTGCTGGATAAGTCTACAGAGACTCATTAAGAGGGAGGGGAGGAAGGCAGTGGGGAAATAAAGAAGCTGGCCTGGTTGCGAGGCTCAGGTGTTGAGTTGGAAAGGGTCTGGAGCTCTCAGGCTAGGAGTCTGTTGGCATTCTTTTAGAAGGAACAGCTTTCCTACCCTTATCACCCCTGCTTTGTTCCCTTTGTGAGTCACTTTTTGTTGCGTTGACAGGTCCTGAGATCATGAGCAAGTTGGCCGGGGAGTCGGAGAGCAATCTGCGGAAGGCCTTTGAGGAAGCTGAGAAAAACGCTCCAGCCATCATCTTCATTGATGAGCTGGATGCCATTGCTCCCAAAAGGGAGAAGGTGGGTCTTCCACAGGCCTGGGCAGGTGGGATAGTTCTGCACCTGGAGCCATTTTAAATGAGATGCCAGAGCAAGGGACGGGGTTGACCTGCAGGAGCACCACCAGCTCTTGGGAACGCCTCGGACTGCCCGGTGGTTTTGTCAGCCAGAGCCAAGCTCTTGGTCCTGGCTTCTTCTGTCATGTTTTGCCTCCTGTGACCATGCCTTGTAGGAAGGGCAAGCATTCCTGTGGGCTGCAGCTTAGGAGTAAATGTCGCCTGTTGTGGGGTGAGGTTAGGTATCATGCACCGTCAAAACACCTTCCAGGACTAAGGAGGGCCATGAGCCATGCAGCCACAATCCTGAATAGTTGTCTATACTGTAAAGCCGTTGCAATTGGCACAATAATTAGAGTAGCCTAGAAGGCAGGTTTCAGAGCTTTCCTAGAAGCAACGGGAGTCAGAACTGATGCTGCTGTTCACACAGTGCGTTCCAGAGGCAATTGTGTTCTCAAAAGGGCCCCTCCGGGTTCTTGAACTTGCACCTAGGTAGGACTGTACCAAGATAAGTTGCCAAGCCACAGAAAGTTTTATGAATTCGATATGATTGGGATAGATTCATGACACTTTATTGCAATGGGGTGTTGTTTTGGGGGCTTCTCTGTTCCACCTCCTACCTGGTCCTCACCCTGTTGGCTGCTTCCTCTGCAGACACACGGTGAAGTGGAACGGCGTATTGTCTCTCAGTTGCTGACCCTCATGGATGGCCTGAAGCAGCGAGCACATGTGATTGTCATGGCTGCTACCAACAGACCCAACAGCATTGATCCTGCACTCCGGCGATTTGGTAAATTACCTTGTTCACCTTAGTAGGAGGAGGGGGCAGCTTCAGACTGGGAGATAATAGTGGTTAGTGAATTGTGCTTGGCTTTCCATCACTCTGCTTTGGAGTAGTGGGAAACAACTAGGGCAGACCTACACACACTAGCGCGTTGCAGTACAATACGCGTGCTGTAGCCTCTGGGGGAACTACTGTATTTGCGCTAGTTGTGAACTGCCTGTCCCTATTAGGCATGCTCTCTCTGAACTAGAAGCGATGTGCTGACATTTGACGTACAGATGGAGTTGCAGAGCTAGGGGTCACCACAAAGGCATAGAGCTGTCTGACTGACAATTTACAGTACAGACACTGCTTGGCAGCAGGGGGTTGGATTAACCTCCGCTCTGGATAAGCAAAGCCTCGTTTGTATATGCAGCAGAAATGGGGAATAAACACCTTTTGGGTTATATCATGTAAAGTTGCTGATGACGTCTTGCATGTATGAGCACTGCTCTTTGGAAAAGCCACGTGCTTTTTTACATGCACAGTCTATTTTGCTATACAAATTTATTTTTGCCATGATGGACCTGTCATTGCTTGCCCCCACCCCAAATCGGCATAAGATTTTAATGGCGAGTTATTTAATAGCTTGGTCAGGTAGCTTTTCTCCGATGCGGAGGCTTCTGTTTTTTTCTTGCTTCAAATACTGGTGCCCTGTGTGTTTCACTCAGACATTCAAATAATTTTCTGCCTGAGGGACTACATTTCTCAGTTTCAAAGAAATATTAAAAATCTGCTTTTTTGAAGACTGTCAGTAAGCAATGATCACACTGTTTGTAGGTAGGATGCATATAGGTATTATGAATAATCACGTTACGTTTAAAGCCTTTTTAACCCTTTACTGCATTCCCCCCATCTTTGGTTGTACTGATTTATTGCATAAAAATGTTGTTGTGTGCCTTTTGCTGTGCATAGCACCACCCAGGCACAGGCAGAAATTGAGCTGTACTATAAATGTGCAACATAATGTTGGCTGACAAAAATATATCTGAGAGGCCATAAATCGGAATCAAAAGGACAGGCACCGTCAATCCTCACTTGCTCTGCCGTGCCAAAGCCTCTTCAACATGCATTCAAGTTGTTTCATGTTTCTTTCTTGAGGGAGGGTGTTCCACAGAGTCAGTGCTACCTCAAAAAAAGGCCCTCCTCCCAACAGATGCCAAGTAGCCGTCCTCAGGATGTGGCATGTGACTACGAGGGCGCCTGGTAATGATCTCTGTGGCCTGGCAGAGCCAGACATGTTTAGGGGCTCCAGTTCTCAAAACTTCAAGCTGGCCTGGGAGGAGACTGGCAACCAGCGCAGCTCCTTCAGCTGCAGGACTCTGGGTGTGTCCCCCAGCAATTGTGATCCCCTGCTCTGTGTCAGAAGTACATCTGGGCAGCCCCCTGTGGAGGCAAGATTAGCAGGGGCAGAAGGGAGCCTGCCCTGCTGCTCCCCGTCCAGGAGCAGTTCCAGCTCCCACAGCTGACAGAGGGGTAGAAGGCGGCACCCCCTGTCCCTGCGCAGCCACATGGGTGAGGTGGCCCTCTAGAAATGCCTGCTCCCAGTGGTCGGTGGGGGGGAGCCTTGGAGCTTCAGACCTCCCCCCCCCCCCCGGACCTCTCCTTTCCTCACTGAAAGAAAGAAGTGGAATGAAATGAACTGTTCTAAAATGTCGTTTTTCAAAACTAGTCATGGATTTCTAACCACTGTCAGTTATATTTTTGTGTTTTGTGGCATCTGTGACAGTCTGTAAAGCCACTGTACCCTGCAAAGTTGGCCACCCTGACTTCGCTATTAGACTGCATTGTGAACAAGATAGTATGTTGTAGCAATTCCAGGCAAAAATGTTTGTTGAGTGCCGGTCATTGGTGTTGGTAGTACTACTTATCTACTACCCTGTTTCCCCGAAAATAAGACCTAACCTGAAAATAAGCCCTAGTATGATTCTTCAGGATGCTCGTAATATAAGCCCGACCCCAAAAATGAGCCCCAGTTAAGGGAAACCCCGCCTTCCACCCTTGTGCAGCAACCAGAATAAGATGACATGACTGTATTTGAATAAAGATAGATTGTTGTACATGAAAAAAAATAAAACATCCCCTGAAAATAAGCAAAAATTAATATAAGACCCTGCCTTATTTTCGTGGAAACACGGTAGTTTTAATGATATATTGGTTTATTTCTTCTTCAGTAGTGTCAGGATTTATTCTTATCTTTTAGTCCTGTATGTTTTTTAATACTGTAGGATGCATTAAGTTCTTTTTAGGGGAAAGGTGGGGTATAAATAAATAAGAAAGTAAACAAGACTTTCTGTGTAAGAGCCTCTGTGCATCCAGTTATTCCAATTTCTAATGAAAATGCCAAAAGAATCATATTTACATGAGAGCTGACTAGGACTGTTGATGGTACGGCTGTTTGTGCTATTGCTGTTAGTTGGACACAAATGGCAGCTAATCATCATCATCATCTGAGATTATAATCTGTGATTATTGAAATATAGTCTCAAATGAAGATCTCAGAAATCACATCATCTGAACTACAAAAAACAGCAATATTAGGAGCAGCATCCATACTGTGCTGATATTTAACAGATACTTAGGTTTTTGGTTACAACTAGAGATGAGGGTATTTGTATTCGTATACAAATACCCTGCACAGGTGGCAATAAGGAGGGTCCAGCCGCCTGGGGCCAGACAGTCCACTCAGAATTCTGCCGCCTGCTGTGAGCGCTGGGATCCTTCCTGTCCCTCCGGAGCTTGCAATCTGTGAGCCACTCTTCGACCTGGCAGAGAGGGTTGTTGTCCCACCTCCTCCCGGGAGTGGCGAGCCGATCACGAGCTCCGGAGGGATAGGAAGGATCTTGGAGCTTGCAGCAGCAGCAGCGGAATTGAGAGTGGACCATCCGGCCCCATGGGACTGGACCCTCATTATCACCACCAGTGCGGGGGTATTCATATACAAATACCCCCATCTCTAGTTACAACTTGTATCTGTTACATAATACCAGTCAATGTTTCTAGAATTTTGATTGACTCTGCCTGGTGTTTTTTTAATTCTTCTTCTTCTTTTAAAAATGTATTTAAAGAGTATATATATATGTAGCACCCATAGATCTTTTGGTAAGTTTGTGCTGGCCCATGGTTTGCCAAAGGGGTTTTTGTTTTTATATGCTCATTTAAAAAAAAAAAGGTTGTATTTTTTGTTATTTTCTGGAAACCACCCAGACTAGTGGCTTGTCGAATAAGTGAGTGGGGTATAAATTATTATTATTATTACAGTGGGGTCTTGACTCTAGAACTTAATCCGTATTGGAAAGCGGTTCTCAAGTCAAAAAGTCTGTAGGACAAGTCTCCATTGACCTACAGTGCATTGAAAACCCGTAACAGGCCGTTTTTGTTCCATTTTGGTTTTTTTCTGCTCTGTAAGTCAATTCTCAGGCTGCAAGTCAAACCTAAATTTTGCATTATTATTATTACAGTGGGGTCTTGACTCTAGAACTTAATCCGTATTGGAAAGCGGTTCTCAAGTCAAAAAGTCTGTAGGACAAGTCTCCATTGACCTACAGTGCATTGAAAACCCGTAACAGGCCGTTTTTGTTCCATTTTGGTTTTTTTCTGCTCTGTAAGTCAATTCTCAGGCTGCAAGTCAAACCTAAATTTTGCGGCCAGAGAAGTCTGTAACTCAAAAAGTCTGTAAGTCAAGCCGTCTGTAAGTCAAGGGTCCACTGTAGTAGTAGTATTATTATTGTTGTTGTTGTTGTTGTTATTGATGATGATGGTGGTGATGGTGATGGTGATGATGATGATGTACTCTTCGGTATGTGTACATGCTTGGCTAGAGAAAAGCAGCGATCAATGAAAGAGAGGAAGAATTTATCAAAGCCTGCAGTTTCCGGTTTGCTTATAGAATTCAAAGATGGTTGTGTTTCTTTACATTTCCCCAGGGATGGGAAAAAGGAGAAAGACCAACAAGAGACGGACCTCAGGCTGGAATCGCCTGGCCGGTGGAGGGCTCTTGGTGGCCTGGATAAGTACCGAAGCCAGAGCGCTAACGGTTGCCTTTGTTCTTCCCTCCCCACCCCCAGGTCGCTTTGACAGGGAGGTAGATATTGGCATTCCGGACGCCACCGGACGGCTGGAGATCCTGCAGATCCACACCAAGAACATGAAACTGGCTGACGATGTTGATCTGGAGCAGGTTTGTTTTCTTCTTGAAAATGCATTCCAGGAGTATGTATTTGTACACCCACACATTCAGCATTTTCAGAAGGTCAGAAAACACAGTCACATGACAGCTGGCAACAAGTGAAAGACGGTGATAAAAACAAAAACAGGAAGCAGTTTGTATCATTTGCCAGAAGGCCCGTTAAAGCCACTTTGCAGGACGGCCTTGCAGAGCATTCAACAGGCGGGAGCTTTGCAGGCGGAGCAGCCCAAAGGCAAGCCTACGGAGAACTTGGCCAAGCCGTTTGAGCAGACAAGCCAGGGACCCATTCAGTTAAAGGGACTTCAAACAGATGGGTTTTTGTGCCTTCAGAGATGCCTGTACCTGTGGAGGCACAGGCTCATCGTTAGGGTGTTCCCCAGTGTTGGGGCTGCCTCAGCGGGAGCCCTGGAGCGGTGGCAAAGAAGTACAGGGTACGGGTAGATGCATCTGTTTGCGAGTAGTCCTTCAGGTCACCTGGACCCAAAACATTTAGTTTTAAAAGTGAAGGCCAGCACTTTGAATTGGGATCAAGGCTTCCTAGCCACCCATGAAGTCAGTGCAAAGTTGGAGCAAATTTCTGACCACCTGGCCTCTGCCATCATCTAGTCAGTTACCGGTTGTACATACTGGGTCTTTTGGATTATCATTGGAGGCTTCCCCGTGTAAAAACCATTGTATAATCTAGAAGTGACCGTTGCGCAGGTAGCTGGGACCATGGCTGCCCATTCCCTCCAGTTGGCCCATGTCAGAGTTTGTAAAAACGGTGGCTGGCTACAGCTGCTGCTCACCTGGCAGTGACAGGACCACGAGAACCTCTGAACTGAGCACCTGGTCTTCTCAGGGGAGTGGAGTTCCACTGAGGATGGTTTTCACGCCACTGTCCAGGTCAGGACAGTATAAAAATACTAACATCAGAGTAAATAAAATCTGCCAACTTCACAGCCCTTTTCTGAATGAGTTTTTAGCTTGCTTTTCTTCATCTGCCCCAGTTTTGTGTCCCAAGCAAGTCTTTCAGCCCCTCCTCTGAACTCTTGGGTAGAGAAGAGGGCAGAGACGTGAAGGATGCATGCTAAGACAGTGCTGCCCTTTGGAGTAGCGCAGGAGCCTTGAACCGGAGATTGCGCTTGAGAGGAGTAACCCAAGAGCTGAGCTAGAGAGCCAGAAGAGAGCAGAAACTGGCTCTTCAGAACCGCCAGCCTGGGCCAGGCCGGCGCAGTTGTCCCCTTGAAATGCTGTGAGCGTTTATAGGTGTCTCCAGAAAAGGATGCACCAGGAGGATGTATACTCTCTTACCTTTTCTCCCCAGTGTTTTTGTATTGGTTTTTTAAAAATTATTTATTTAGGCAGGCAAGCAGCTGTTTGTTCTGAGTGACGCAGGTAAGGTTTTGCTCTCCAGGGGTAATCCTACCACTTGCTGTTTTGCTCAGGGATTCTGAGGTGGGCTCCCCACCGGAAGAGGTAAAACACTAGCCACAGTGATCAGCCATTAAAAAACTGGGGCACAGCTTCCTGCCTAAATTCAGGTCTGCAATGGCTGTGAGCAGCCACATAGGAGGTGGGTGTATCTAGGCTACTGTATGCCATTCTTGTACCTTCTTTGGTCTGATCATGGCACGGTGCATCATGGAGTTTGTAGGTCTGTCCCTAGTCCCTAGTTTTTGCAGGCCCGCTCTTGGGATGGAGCAGCTAGGTCCATTGCGGAGGCCCAAGGTCAGAACCCCGGCTGGCTCACGTCTCCCCTCTTGCTTCAGGTGGCCAATGAGACCCATGGGCACGTTGGGGCTGACTTGGCTGCCCTTTGCTCAGAGGCAGCCCTGCAGGCTATCCGGAAGAAGATGGATCTCATTGACTTGGAGGACGAGACCATTGATGCTGAAGTGATGAACTCCCTCGCGGTGACCATGGATGACTTCAGGGTAAGTGGGGCATGTTTAGGTCTTTGCCGCCTGGGTGGGAAGGCCCTGCTGACCGAAGGGGCAAACTCCAGCTAACGGCCTCTCTCTTTCCCCATGCCAGTGGGCCCTGAGCCAGAGCAACCCCTCAGCCCTGCGTGAGACAGTGGTGGAAGTGCCACAGGTGACCTGGCAGGACATTGGCGGCTTGGAAGATGTCAAGCGAGAACTCCAGGAGCTTGTACAGGTGAACGGCTGCTTGACACCCAGCTTCCCACTCACGGAGGCAAAGGCTGGATGCTTGCCATTCCTAAAACTTTAGGAGCCTTTGTGGGCGGCCTCCCTAGCCCAGCTGCCCCCTCGTGTCCACCCACTAGGCCATCGCCTTTCTGACAGTTTCAAGTCACAAAATGTACAAGGAGCAGCAGGAGTGAATTCAGATCACAGTGTTCCAGCAAGCCTCCTGTTTCATGAGTCCACTGCTGTGCGTGTAAAGTGACTGACGGCGGTGGTAGGCGATCTGGGGGAAAGCCAGAGAAGCAAATGTTCTTCGAACTCTTGAGTGCTTCTCGGTGACGGGCATTCTGTAGGGATGGTGCGTAGGTTGCCTTGGCGGGAGTTTTAAGGACAGCACACAGACCTAGAATGCCCCTCCAGTTAATGATCAGGAAGACTCACACGGTGCAGGAGCCACACGGTTCCCCTTGTTGCGAAGTGGCTCTTGCTTTCAGTTGTCTTCCTTTTAATAGCTGCTTTGTATTTTCAAAGCCAAGATGCCTGCAATGTGACCTGTGGAGTTTGTTGAGACATTTGCCAAGAAGTGTCAGCTGCATTTCTGAAAGTATCTACTGTCCCTGTGTTATTTTTTAAGATCCTGGGAACAAGGCTCCGATGTCCTGTTTCAGAACAGCAGACGTGAATTTATTGCTTATTACTTTAGCCATGGGCTTAGTTTAATGTACAGGGACGTGGTGGCGCTGTGGGCTAAACCGCAGAAGCCTGTGCTGCAGGGTCAGACGACCAAGCAGTCGTAAGTTCGAATCCACGCGACGGAGTGAGCGCCCGTTGCTTGTCCCAGCTCCCGCCAACCTAACGGTTCGAAAGCATGCAAATGCGAGTAGATAAATAGGGACCACCTCGGTGGGAAGGTAACAGCGTTCCGTGTCTAAATCACACTGGCCATGTGACCACGGAAGATTGTCTTCGGACAAACGCTCGCTCTATGGCTTGAAGAGCGGGATGAGCGCCGCCCCCTAGAGTCGGACACGACTGGACAAAAATTGTCAAGGGGAACCTTTACCCTTTACCTTTACCTTAGTTTAATGTATGTATTGACTAGCACAATATGCTGCTGTTGCTTAATCCCTAACCTGCTTGTGGTGAAACGGTGGTTTTGCAGGAGAGCTACCCAGCTTCAAGCTGGTGTTTGTGCTGCGGCTTGTGCCTCATACGGCCAGCCTGGTTTCTCTCATTGTGCCTAAGGAGCCGCCGGGTGCTTCTGGCAGAGTCCTGCTCAGCGACTCCATAGCCATGAGTCAGGGCGGGGCACTTTTGAATGTGGGATGGTTCTGCTCCCACCCCCTGTTAACCCCTTGATGCTGACAAGGGGATTCTTTTTTTCCTCAGTACCCAGTAGAGCATCCAGACAAATTCCTTAAATTTGGCATGACCCCTTCAAAAGGAGTGCTGTTCTATGGGCCACCTGGCTGTGGGAAAACTCTGCTGGCCAAAGCCATTGCCAATGAATGCCAGGCCAACTTCATCTCCATCAAGGGGCCAGAGCTGCTCACCATGTGGTTTGGAGAGTCAGAGGCCAATGTGCGCGAGATCTTTGACAAGGTAAGGCTCTCTTGCTTTCTCGGGGTGGTTGTCATTGAGTTTTCCAAACGAGTCCCTCTTTCACAAAATATTTCTTTGCATTCGACTGGTGGCCAGTCTGTGACCTGAATATGCTCCTAGACCCAGGTTTCTCCATGGAGAACCACATCTTGGCTGTGTCCAGGTTTGGCTTTTTCTATTTTAGGCCGATTGCTCAGTTGTGGCTCTACCAGAACAGGAAATCCCTAACTATGTTGGTCCATGCGTTGGTAGTCTCTAGGATTGACTACTGCAAAGGTCAGCAGGTGCGAAATGCAGTGGCCAGGTTTATATTGGGAGTTCAAAGATATGATCGCATCTCCCTGATCCTGGCACATCTGCATTGACCGCCTGTATGATTCCTTACCAAATTTAAAGTGCTGGTATTAACATGTAAAGCACCTAATGGTTTGGGACTTTGTTACCTGCCGGAGCATCACTGCCCTAAGATTGTCCACTCAGGCCAGCCAGGTGTTGCAACTTCTGATGGCCATCCCTAGACAGACCTGGAAAACTACTACCACGAACCGGACCTTCTCAGTGGTGGCCACAGTGCTATGGAATGCATTACCCGCAGATACGCACCAGGCTCTCTCCTTCTTGGCCTTCAGGAAATGGGTGAAAACCATTAACTGTTTGAAGTGGCCTTTAGAAATATCTTGCCCCTTTGACACCCGAGTGGGACCTGTGAATTGATTATTGATTTTGACTTGCTGTCCAGGTTTCTTTCTTTTTGAATATTCTGGATTATTAATGTTTTCCGGTTTTCTTCATGCCTTTGTGGGCTGAGATGGGTAGTTGTGTTTTTAACTACTGTTAGCCACCCAGAGTAGTGCTTAGGTACTAGGAAGGTTGGGGTATAAAGGTAGCAAGTAAATAAATTAAATCAATGAATAAAAAGCACACTTGGATTTAAAGCTTCTTCATCAGTTCCTCTTGGATCTCATTTTTTTTAATCTTTGCAACTTACGCCACACATCTCAAACCTTAAGCCTCACATGGGCTTATGTTATTGTGTGAACCTACATTCCTGAGGCCAAAAAATATCAACTTGCTTTTTCCCAAGCCATCTATAATTTTGCAAACAGATGTCATGTACTACCAGTAGTTTTTATATTTTGTGATAAAAATTGTGCTTCTTTTTGCCTTCAGAGATCCTTGATCCTTTTCCTGACTGTCATACTTTTGTTTCTTCCTGTAACTTTGCCAGCTCTGCCCAGGATGGCAGTGTCCGCCTCTTCTCCCCCACCCCCACCCCGCTCCCTTCCACTTTTCAGTCCATCTCCTGGAAGATCCAACAATATTCTACCCACCCTTCCTCCCTTTCCATGGACAGAGCACTCAGGAGACCGTGGTTTTGGTCAGTTTTCTATGTTGATCACGATTCCCAACCCAGTGATGGCGAACCTTTCTTCTGGCACACAACAAATTTTTGAAGTGGCTGCAGCTTGGATTCCCCCTTTGTCTTCCTCTTCTGGGTCCTTTAACTTCCTGTCCATTCCCATGATTCCCCCTTTAACTTCCTATCCGTCTCCATGATTCCCCCTTTAACTTCCTGTCCGTCCCCATGATTCCTTCTTTAATTTCCTGTCCATCCCCATGATTCCCCCTGAAACTGCCACTTCCTGTTGCAGTTCTGGTCTTCTGGGCGGTACGGCAGCCACTGGTTTCTTCCCCACCCCCTCATTTTGGGCACTTGAGCTGAAAAAGGTTTGCCTCCACTGCCCTAGCCCATCCTTATGCAAGAAGGAGGTATCCCTCAGTATAAATCACGTTAGGTTTCCCAATGAGTTTTACTTTGCAGTCAGGGATGCCATCCTATCTCTCAAAGAAGTAGTCATGTTAGTCTTTATGAGCTGGTTTGCAGAATAAAAGAGGAAAGAACTAGAAAAAAAAGAGAGAGAAAGAGAAGTATGGCACTTCAGAGACTAACAGATTCATTTCATATGAACCTGAAGAAGGGGAATCGTGATCCAAGAAAGCTCACACCGAAATAACTCTGTCTCCCGCTTTGTTGAAAATGCTGGGGGCTGTTCAGTGTTTTTTGCCCTGTAGAAGTGTAGGGCTTGCCTGCTTGTGTCGAGTCAGGGCCTTGAGTCCTAGAAGGATAGAGCTGGAAGGGGCCCTTCAGAGGGTCATCCTGGAAGAGCCAGCCTAGCCTGTGTGGCCTTGGGCACAAACTGTGCGGCCCCAGGATCCCAGCAGAAGCAAAGAGTGTGGTGAACGGCTTCTGTGTACGCTCTGCCTCCAAAACCATGAAAAGGGTCACCATGGGTCAGAACTGACTTGAAGGCAGCACAGTGTTATTATTCCAAAATATTCAATAATACCAGACACTGTTGTTGTTGTTATTTATTCCGATTACCCATTTCCCCATGGGTCAGAACTGACTTGAAGGCAGCACAGTGTTATTATTCCAAAATATTCAATAATACCAGACACTGTTGTTGTTGTTATTTATTCCGATTATCCATTTCCACCCCTCAGCAAGTTTCCATGGTCAAATGGGGGTCCATCACCCTGTCCACTCCAGCCCACTGGGTCCCTCTGTTTGATCGCCATCTTCACATATTTGAAGGGTTGTCGTGTTGCCTCTTTGTGTTCTTCTCTTCTCCAGGCTGAACTTTCCACCACCATTCCTTGTAGGATTTGGTTTCCAGACCTTTTTCTGCCATGGTCTGGAAGGCTTGAATGAGCTGTTTTGAGCTATTTTCACTCAAATAGTTGAAGTCAAGTCTGGCATTACTTTTGATCCATTGGTGGAGAAGCAGTCATAACTCTTTACACACCAAGAGCGACTCGCCACCACTCTTACAGTCTTGTTGAACGACTTATCTTTGGTAATAGGCATGGAGAATGGTCTGTTTTGGAGGCTTCGCCTCCTCCTTCCATGTGGCATGACTCTTCCATGACATACACCTTGAAGTGAGAGGAAATCTTCCCAGGGCACGACAGCAAAAAGGGCACAATTCTGTGACCATTTAGGACTCTCTTATTTCCCTCTCTAGCCATCAGAAGAGATCTGCTGTAAAGTTTTTGTTGCTCTAAACGCTTAATTCTGTAGTATATCTGTGAAGATTCTCAGTCATCCAGGTGAGGTTATCCGGAAGTTGAGTCATGGCAACTGGACGTCTTTCTTATCTGGTTGAAGCGTTTCGCTACTCATCCAAGTAGCTTTTTTAGTCTGAGGAGAGTTGGCAGGAGACCCCTGATAGATCCTCCACAGTTGGTTTCACTTCCTCCCTGCTCTGAATAGGCAGTTGTATAGAAAATCACTCACTCAGCAGGGGTGGAGGCCTTAGACACAATCTGTCTCCTATTTATTATGCTGCCTTTTTATCCATCCCTAGAAAAATCAGACAGAAATCACACAGCAGAAAGACCACTGTTAACCCCATGACAATGGGTGGAGGACTGCAGAGGTGGGATTATCCCTCACCCCCAGTCCTTTGTCCTACTAACAAGCCTATTCAGACCAGGGGGAAGTAAAACCAGCCTGGAGGATCTATCAGGGATCTCCTACCAACTCTCCTCAGACTGAAGAAGCTACTTGGATAAATAGTGGAACTTTTCAACCTAATAAGGAAGTCCAATTCCCATGACTCAACTTCCAGTTAACTCTGCCGTGGCTTCCCATCCTGCTGGTTCAGCACCGTAAACGAAGGCAAGGCACTCGCGCATGCACCCACATACTGTACATTGCTGTGGTGAATATAAATACGTAGTTAGGCTTTTTTTACATACTGAAGCTGCCCACACACAGCCTGGATCTCCCATCTGCACGCACAGAAATCCCCAGGATGAGCTCATTGGTGGAATGCATGGTGAAGTGAGGCAGGGACCTACCTCTCCAGAAAAGCTCATCCAGGGGAACAATTAAAGCTTGTAGCATCCAAAAATAATAGCGTGGTGTTGGCTTTCATGGGCCAGTGTCCATTCCATCAACAGGTCCATGTGAGCAGGAATGCCACCTGCCTTATAGCACTCCACCTTGAATCCAGCTGAGGTGGGTTAATTGTCTTCTCTCTCCCGCCCCCTCCCCTGGGCAGGCCCGCCAAGCAGCTCCTTGTGTCTTGTTCTTCGACGAACTTGACTCCATTGCAAAGGCCCGTGGTGGGAACATTGGAGATGGTGGTGGTGCTGCAGACAGAGTTATTAATCAGATCCTCACGGAGATGGATGGCATGTCGACCAAAAAGAACGTCTTCATCATTGGTGCCACCAACCGGCCAGACATCATCGATCCAGCTATCCTGCGCCCGGGACGTCTGGACCAGCTGATCTACATCCCGCTGCCTGACGAGAAATCTCGGGTGGCCATCCTCAAGGCCAACCTGCGGAAGTCCCCTGTGGCCAAGGTGAGTTTCTGCTGGCACGGGTGCTGTGGGATCTGAGTGTTTGTCCCTGGGTAGGCGTCAGAATACACGTTTAGACATCTGTGTGGAAAGATGGTGGTTGTCAGTTTTTCGGGCTGTCTGACCGTGTTCTTGAACAACCATCGGATCCCGGCCATGAAAACCTTCGAGAATACCTTGTGTAGAAAGAGTTGGTGTGTTTGAGGTGCCCCTCTTGAGACCACCTTGGACCAAGACACACTTTTGAAACCATCCCCACCCCACCAGCGTCCAGTTTGTTTTTAATCAAGGTGTGGTCAGCTGTTTGCCTGCCGTTTCCTCTTCTGGCTTTTGGTTTCATCTGCAGGGTCTTGGCTCTGCCCGCATGGCGTGATTTGTGTACCTGTGAATCCTTTACTGCTTTGCTGATGAGCCTGATTGTGCTAGAGGGACTCGAAGGATGCAGCAGAATATGTTTTGGGCCCCCACACCAGGAGAGCAACTTAGTCCTCTTACCCCAGACCAAAGGCGGTCGCTCATTGCTGCTCTGGTGCCCCTGCCCTGATGCCCGGTGTAGAATCATGGAGAAAAATGAACTTCAGGTAGAGCCACTGGAGGCTGTCATCCTCTGAAGCATGGAAAGCCTCTCCTTGTGAGAAGGCAGTATTCATTCCTTCTGTTAAGGAGTCAAGCAATTCTTTCTCATCACCGCAGATGTTATTTGGGTTTACGGTGGTTTCTCAAAGAGTCACAACATTTTCCATCTATCTTATCACACAGAGTCCTTCTCAGGCCTTCAGAATAACATGCTCTCTGCTCGCCTGGAAAACAACTTGTCAGCATAGCACAGATATTATATACAAAGAAACAAAATGGAACCTCTCTGGTTCACTTCATAATTACAAAACCCATATGCCTTTAAAAGATTTTAACTCAAAAACCCATCTCATCACACCGTGCAAGTTTGGAATCAGACACCCTGGGCAAAGAGGGTAGAAGAAAGCTGGCCAAGAGGTTTTTCCGTGCCTGTGTGTGTTTCCACGCAAGCCCAGGCTTGCACCTTCCTTCTTTCCCAAGTGTTCGTTCAGACATCAGCAAGGACCAGGCCAGGTTCCTGCAAGAAACATCTGGGGCTCCTCTTGCTCATAGCTCTGGATGAGAGTTTGCTTAAAAGAAGCTGGCTGCCCTAAGGATGACAGATAGAGCTGACAGGGAGTGCACCAGAGGTGACAGGAAAAGGGCTGTGTGTGTGTGTGCGCGCGCGCTGCTTGGTTTTGTGTCTTTGTTTTGTTCATTGCGCTTCCCGTAGGCCAGGAAGGGGGATATGTGTGATGTGTAGAACCTCCCTTCTTCCCCTAGGATGTGGACTTGGAGTTCCTGGCAAAAATGACCAACGGCTTTTCTGGGGCTGACCTGACAGAGATTTGCCAGCGGGCCTGCAAACTGGCCATCCGCGAGTCCATTGAAAGCGAGATCAGGCGGGAGCGAGAAAGGCAGACCAACCCTTCTGCGATGGTGAGTGGGTGTCCAAGGAAGGCCTGTGGGGTTTTGGTTGGGTGGCTCCTGGTCGCTCAAGCCTGGTGCTGAGAGCTGTGGCTTCACTGTGTTCAGGAGGTGGAAGAAGAAGACCCGGTCCCTGAGATCCGCCGTGACCACTTCGAAGAGGCCATGCGCTTTGCCCGCCGCTCGGTCAGCGACAACGACATCCGCAAGTACGAGATGTTTGCGCAAACCCTACAGCAGAGCCGAGGCTTCGGCAGCTTCAGGTAAGTCCAGGGCGGTGCAGCAGGCTCCCCTTGGGCATTGTTCTCGTTTCTATCTTGGGGGGGTGGTTTGGAGAAGGAGCACAAGGGCAGCCGTTGCCAGGATCTTCCTGGTATTCTTTCTCGAAGATCCTGCTTTTTTTGCTTAGACAACCCAACCTGTGAGAATCCTGACTCACAAATGGTGTCCTCAGACTGGGTGGCTGTTTGTGCCCACAGGCGTTTTCTTGGTGTGCAGAATTTGCGGGGAGTGAGTCTCTGTTCTCCTTCCTGGGTCTCCTTGAGTTTAGGTCCCCTTCTGCCAGTGCCCATCACAGCTACAGTGTCCCCCGCCTTTCCTGATTCCACCTCTAATCTAGCCTCATCTCACCCTGCAACACTACGAATGCAGAGTTGGGGAATAGGTTGTCCTCTCGGATCAGAACTCGCACAATCCTTTGCCCCTGGTGACCCTGGCTAGGGCTGCAGACGGAAATTGCACCGCACTTCCACCTAGGGAGCCCCTGCACTCCTCCCTCCCTGTGTCCCCTTGCTGCCCCCGTAAGCACACCAATACCTTGGCCTCTTCTTCTGCCAAGCCCACTGCCTTTGACGAAGGTCTGAAATGCCGTAAGAAATGCAGGCGGGGTGGATCTCCATGTTGTTCAGCATCTCCACCGGTTGTCTGTCTGATGGGTGTGGAGCCCTGAGACTTAAGTTCAGTGTGGGCCACAGTCATGTGTTTCTCCACCCTGTGTCTGCAGCAGGAGTGGGGGTATCCTTGGCCCTTCTAGGTGTTACTGAACTCCCACTCCCATGAGCCCCGGCCAGGAATGATGGAGGTTGTAGTCCACCTCTAAAGGGCTGGCCCCCCGGTTCCTTCCCCAGTGTAACTTTCTTTATGCTGGGTGATGGGTGTTTGCTTACCCCTCTTCTCTCTGGGCACTTTTTCCAGATTCCCATCCGGTAACCAAGGTGGTGCTGGACCAAGCCAGGGCGCAGGAGGAAGCGGTGGAGGAAATGTTTACAGCGAAGACAACGATGATGATCTCTATGGTTAAAGTGCTGTCAGAGTGGACCAAACTCCAGAACAGGCCACGTTGTACAGGGCAATTCCAGTGGTCAGTGGACTCCTGGCATCTTCATTCCTTGGTCAGATCCTTGTAGCTGCGTGTCAGGCTCTGTGTCAGCTGGAGTCTGCTGTAAATGCAAGGCAGCTGGTTGGCTGGTCTGTTTGGGAGGCAGGCAGGCAGGCAGGCAATTAATGAGAAGGGGAACTGGCTACACTTCTGGGAAATTTCTGTTCTAGTTTTATGGCAGAATCAGCAGCTTTAGCAACGGGTACAACCATAGCCTGTAAAAACAAAACAAAACAAAAATTTAAAAACCCACAAAAATAAAAAAAAATAAAAAAATCCCATAACTTCATTCAAGTTGGCCTCCATTTGCCTTTTTCCTGAACTTCCTCCTCCATTTTGTCTTCTTGTTTATCAGGGGCATGTCTGCCCTGCATGTTCCATGGAAGCAGACCTTCCTGGATTTTCAGTGGAGCTGCCGTGGCGTTTCAAATGACTCCTCCCCCCACGCAGATACAAAGTTTTGGGAGATAAATCCTCGGGCTGCCTTAAAACATCCACCCCTTATAATACAAGCAGTGTCAGGGCTTGAGGGAGCCGCTCCCAAAGAAGGGGATCTTCCTGCTCTGGAAATTGGGGGCAAACACCTCTCAGGATGTCAACTGGGCCGTGTTGGGCTGCAACCGATGCCCTCTTCATGAGTTAATTTTTCTTTTGTTTTTTTGTTCTGGGTTAATCGTGCTTTGCATTTCTCCAGCGCTTTAAAATAGGCAGAGCATTTCGCGTTTTTTAATTCCTTCCTTCCTTGGAGCACAGCATTGTAAGTCAGATTGAGAGTTGGGAGTGCTGCGGTTGAGTGAGTGAGACAGGTCTTGCCGAAGGCTGATGAGCAAGCTCATCCTGGCAGGTTTAGGAAGTACAAGGCAAGGTCTTCTGAAGGTTGAAACCTTGAGCTGCCACATGGCGCGAGTTCTTCGTTCACCCAGGGGGCTGCAACTTGGCTTTTGAAGCATCTAACTGCTGGGTCTTAATTGGGGTTGAGCGTGCGCTCCAGTTTTTGTGCAGCCCTTTTTCTCATTAAAAAACAAAAAACCACCACCACCACAGGTTTTATTTATCAGCTAACTTACTTGAGGCATGATTCATTGAGACCTCCTGCATAGAAATTTATTTTGTTCCAGGAGAACTTGAATAGGAGGCACTCTCAGTAGGATTTAGAACCACAAAACAAAAGTGCAGGGTGCCCCATCTCTTAACAATCCATGCACAAAGTCCCTTTTAATGCTGGAGTACTTAGAAAAGGAGTTAACTTCCCAGAATACCATTCTTGAGCCAAAGCAGCTTACAATTAAGCTTATACGGCCCATGCCCCTATTATCTTGTTTACATCCGCTTCCTATGTTCCCTCTTTTTGTCATCCAGTGGCTAGATTCCACCCCCAAGTCAATTATTATAATTTCAGTAACTGTTTGCTGGAATCTCCCAGGAATATGGGCTTTGTATTTACAGTTATTTCTCTGAAAGCAGCCCAAACTCTTAAATTTTCCACATCACTGTTATGGCAGAGACATGTGCACATTCCTGGTGAATGTTGCTTTCTCAGAAATACGCATCAGGAGGGTACATGGGCGTTAACAGGAAGGAGCCAGCAGGAGAAGACCTGGGCAAGATAGCTATTCAAGCCCTGTTCATGCTTCTTCTCAGTGGCTGAAACCTAGGAAGTTCTGAGGCAGTTCTAGCTCAGTGTATTCGCGAAGGCTTTCACGGCCGGGATCTAATGGTTGTTGTGGTGTGTGTGTGTGTGTGTGTGTGTGTGTGTGTGTGTGTGTGTGTTTTTGCTCTTTGGCCATGTTCTGAAGGTTGTTCTTCCTAACATGCTGTCCTCTGAAGATGCCGGCCACAGAGACTGGCAAAACGTTAGGAAGAACAACCTTCAGAACACGGCCAAACAGCCCGAAAAACCCACAACAACCAGTTCTAGCTCAGCTGGAGTATAAGGCTGCAGTTTTGGGTCTGGTTCATGTTGTACTAATTTGACATCAAGTCACTTTTGACATGGTGACTACAAATTAGGTAAAGGTTCCCCGACGTTTAGTCCAGTAGTGTCTGACTCTAGAGGGCGGTGCTCATCCCTGTTTCCAAGCCATAGAGCCAGCGTTTCTCCGAAGACCATTTCCGTGGTCATGTGGCCAGCGTGACTAGACATGGAATGCCGTGACCTTCCCACTGAGGTGGTACCTATTCATCTACTTGCATTTGAATGCTTTCAAACTGCTAGGTTGGCAGGAGCTGGGACAAGTGACAGGAGCTCCCTCCGTTGCATGGATTCAACCTTACAACAGCTGGTCTTCTGACCTTGCAGCACAAGGGCTTCTGAGGTTTAACCTGCAGCGCCACCACGTCCCTCTGTGGGGGACTATGAATTGATGACCTCCAAAGGTCTGTAGATCTCTCCTCTGACACCACATTTTGAAGCCAGTTTTCTTTTTGCTGGCTTTCTTCACTGTTGAGTTTTTACATCCTTCCACAGTAACAGGAGATTCCATAACAGGGATAATCTTGGTCTTTAGTAACACATTCTTATATTTAAGAATCTTTTTTAGTTCTCTTTGTATCTGCCTTTTTAAGTGTCCAGCTTCTTTTGCTTTCTTGTTTGTAGTCTTCACTCACATGGATTGATGATGGCACTGAGGAATAGAAAACCTTAGGAAAAAGACTCTCCTTATTTATTGTCAGCATTAAAGTTATGTAATTCTTCTATAATCATCCCTCTCTCTTTGTTATAAGATTCAAATGTACTTCTTTTGCTTTTCCATCTTTAACTTTACTCAGTAGTCATTTCAGGTCATTACTAGGTTTTGACAGAATTATGCTGTCATCTGTGAATCTTAAATAGATCTTTCATCAGTTCTCACTCCTTTTTCTTCAGAATGTAATTCCTCTTTTCACACGGTATGTTCATATAGGTTGAACAGATGGCAGATAAAATGCTCCTGACTGATACGTTTGCCAGTGGGAACTTGTTTCTTCCCATTCTTGTCCACTGAGTAGGTTATACGGTTGATTCATAGCTTTTGACGGTGTGTGTAGTCAGAGGCTTTAATCTATAGTGCACAGCCTGGTTTTCTTCTTGGTACCCACCTGAAGCCAGCGTATATTTGTAATATGTTATCTAGTCCCTTTTCCTTTTCTGAATCCAACTTGTACCTGTGACGTTTGTGTCTCCCTATATATACAGTAGGTAACCAAAGTTTTTGTTGTGAAACATTTAGCATACTTTGCTTGCCTGAGAAATGAGTCTGAGAGTCCTGTGGGCAGCTGCAGTTTGGTGTCTTCTTTCTTGGGGACTGGAACGTGTGTTGGATGTTTCCAGTCTGTGAGTAATTGTTTGTTGGTTTGTTTCCCACTTTGGTTGACATCCTCTTGCCAATTTCTCAATATATTTAGTATCTCTGGCTTGAAGGAGTTTTGCTGGGTGCCTCACACTTAACTCACGGCCATGTACCTTGTCCAGTGGCTTTGGGAGCAGGCTGTCTCTTCCGTTTCTAACATTTCGGGGTCTTCGTCATAAGATTCTTCTTTGAAGCAATCTGTCTTCTTTCCCGTCTCTTCCATATTGGCTTGTTATATGCCATGAAGTCATTTCCTTGATTAAACGTTCCCCTGTTGCTCTTTCAGCATCTTTGATCTTTGTTCACATTTGCCTTTCATGTCTTGGCTTTTACGGAAGAGATGCTTTGGGGGGAGGGGTTGTAGCTGCGGTCTTCTTATTTGCCTTTGCCAAGAAGACCTTATTAGAGAAAACTTACTAGAGTTCCTATCTTTATTTGCCAGTCACATTTGGAATTCTGACTTTGTTTCCATATGCTTCTACTTTTGCTTCTTATCTGCTTTTAATAACTTTAAGCCTTTCTTCAGTTATCTATCATGACTTTTCTTTTGTAGCCTTTCTTCCTAAAAATATTCCTGGTTTCTGTCCACAGTTCTTTTGGTTCATGGTTAGTTTAGTCATGTAAATCTGTTCTTTACGTGGTCTTTAAATTTTACACAACTGTTGCTTTAAGTGTATTTTGCCACTATCATTTTTTCAGTGTTCTTCAGTTTTACTCTGATTTTTAGTATTAACAGCCCACAGTTTACTCCTTTTCTTTCTTTCTTTTTTAAAGAGACAATAGAGGGTGGTTTTTATTTTTTACTTCCAGATACTTATACTCTATTTCTACATTAGTTGTCTGGTGATTTCCTTGTGTACAATTGTCTGTTAGCTTGTCTGAAGCCTGTATTTGCAATAAATAGATTGCTGGCTTCACAGAATTTCTCATTCCTGGATCTAATTCTTGAACAAAAGTTGGTTCTCTTCCCCCCCCCCCCCAATTTTTCCATTCCCGACAGCCTTGATTACTAGCACATGTTGTCCTTGGGTGTGATGAATTTCCTCTTTTACATGTGTATAAAAACTGTTGGTTTATTCTTCCGCCTTTGCAGTTGGAGCAAAGACCTGAATGATGATTAAGTTGATAGGCTTTTCATGAAATCTGACTCCTATTGTGCATATTAGATGTTTTATTATAGCCCCTAACTGCTTGTGCTACATATTGACTCATGGTTAGAACGATGCTGCCGCTGAGTTTGTCATGTTCACAGTAGAACATTTTGTAGTTGTCTAACTGAAAATGTCCTGTTACAGTCTGCTTTCGTTCACTCATACCAAGTATTGCAATATTTATTCCATGTTCTTGTGTCTTATTTTGTAGTTTCAGTGTTACCCCTGTTCATACTTCTGACGTTTCGTACTTCAGTCATATGTGCCATGCAGCACCAACTTTCCTTTCGCTTCTCTACACTTTAGGCAGCCTTCAGTTTTAACCCACCGCCTTTTGTCAGTGAGAGCACCATCAGTCTGTGGCCTTCGCTGCTCCCCAGGAAAGCACATGTCGTTTCCAACATAGGAGTCTCATCTTCCAGTACTATCTGTTTCAGATTGTCTCACCCTAGAGATACCAAGGTATAAAATGTTCAGAAGTGGTTTGTCGTTGCTGCCTTCTGCGCATGACTAACAAGAAACGGGCTTAAGTGTCGTAGCTGTTGTCCGTGAAAGATCCTCTGCCAGGGCCACCTTCCACTGCTGCTCCTCCTGACCGGTAGCTGCCCTTCGGGATTTGGATCTGGTTCACACATTTCTTTAGCTGTTACACAACGGCAAATACACATCCCTGTTGACCACTTAAGGGGACCATGAAATGTTACAGCCAGAGACTGATATTCAGAATGTAGGGGTGGGGGAAACGTGCGCAGCTTTAGAGGGGCTCATTTTTGATAGTGGGAGCACGGAAGGCTCGTAGAGTGCTGTTTACCTTCTATTTAGTCCTTCTGCCTGGTGGGCCCAAGAAGCTCAGTTTTGTGGTCAGTTGTTGGGGAAAACACAAAACAAACTATTTGGTCTTTTTGTTGAGGAAATAGTGAGAGTCTGTCAAAGTCCGAATTGTTGGAAAGAGAAGACAGAACCCTTCTTTTGTTGTACAGCTAGAAGAGGAGTGAGCAGTCTGTATTCCTCACTCCTGGTCTGCTGGACTAGTATGTGGATCTTGAGACTTTATGTACAGTATTATTTTATTTTGTTTACATTATTACTGACGCCTTTCTCCTAACGATCCAAGGCAGCCTAGAGGATTAAAAGAAAAAAAAAATAAAAGCTTAATAATAATTTATTACATTATTTTAAAAGCATTAAACAACATATTAAAACTCATAAAAACACAAGTAAAATGACAGAATAAAATAATCCCTTTAAAAAAATCAACCAGTCATTTAGAGGAAAGCCTGCCTGAAGAGAAAGGTCTTCACGTGCTTGTAGAAGGACAGCACAGATGGGGCCACCTTGGCTTCCTGCGGGAGAGAGTTGCAGAGTCTGCTTGGCAGCCACAGAGAAGCCCCTCTCCCATGGCCCCAAACAGACACCCCTGGGCAGGTGGCGGGACCAAGAGGAAAGCCTCCCCTGATGACCTTAACACACCCGGAGCAGACTCATAAAGGGGGAGGCCGTCTTTTTTGCTGTCCAAACCTTCCAGAGAGCACCAGCCCCTGTAGTTGCAAATAAGTTTAGGAGGGACAGAAAAAAGCCCTGCACACAATGCACTGCAGGACTTGCATTTGGCTGTCTAGACTCTAAAGCCTTCCTCGCTCCTGGGGTAGAACATTTGTTACCCAAGAGCAGTCCATCGGAAGAGCTCCCTGCACCTCCTGTGGAACACCTCATAATACCCACCAAAAGAGGTTCGTAGGGAGACGATGTGGTCTCTCTCCCTCATGGTTAAGCTGTGAGGAGGCCACTTTCTCCCCATATCCTGGAAACCCCCCACAGAAGTCCCCCTTTTGAGCTTTGCTACTGTTAGTTCTTTCTGGATTCTGTTTGTTGTCTGAAGCCAGTTTGTGACCAGCTAAGAGGAGCAGTAACATGACTGATAGGGCTGTACGCAAAGTGTGTGTGTGTGAATCCCTGTAGACCCTGTTTTGTTTGGCCACACTTTGGCAGCCGTGCGCATGGACAGCCATAAGGGAATCCTTTTGGACAGAATTCCATGATGTGCATCGGCACAATGTGAATCCCTTCTGAAAGGAAGAAGCCTGTCACTTTTCAGAAAAATCACTGGAAATGCTTCTTGCCAAGAGCCTCTACATTCTGTAAGGCTCTTTTATAAATGGGTGCCCTGTCTGCTTTCTGGTTTTGTGTGGCATTAGCATGAATATCAGATAGAGTGCCCTTTCTGGAAGATCAAGGGATTCACCAGGCAAATCAGTGCCAAGTCAGCAGTGAAACAGCCACTGTTTGTGTTAAACTTCCAACACAAAAGCACTGTAGCTGGAGACCCCTGGCCAAAGTCACCCAACCCTGATGGGAACTCTCAGTCACAAAAGGGCATGTCTCTTCTCTGCCTGCCATTTTCCTTAGTTTTAGTGTTTTGCTATCATAGGCATAATTTTGCTTCTGTCGTCGGATGCGGCTCTAGAACTTCAGGAACAAGTGCAGCTCTTTGCTTTGGGAAAACCTCAGGGGGGAAAACTGCTTTGCTTTGGGAGCTGCTGGGACACTCTGAAGCAGGTGGTTTTGGTTTGGTGTTCTGGAATCTTCCAAAACGAGTGCATTCTGCCAGAACATCATTGCTTGGCTTTGCCATTGACTGTAATAAACAGACACATACCTGACTATGATCTGTGTCAGTACTGGCTGCATTGTGTGTTCCATGAACGCCTTGCAGTATGCTCCTAACCTTAGGACTGGAAACCTTCTCCAGTCTCCCCTCCTGCTAACCAGTTGGATTCTCCTACATTGCGGCACAACTGCAGTACTGCAGTCAAAACTGCTCAGACCTGAGTTTGATCCCAGTAGGGTCAGGCAGCTGGCTCAAGGTCAACTCAGCCTCCCATCTTTCCAAAGCATATAAATTGCATACCCAGCTTGGGGAGTGGGGGCACGTGTAGCCTGCACCATTAATTTGCAAACCACCCAGAGAGGGCTATCTGCGCCATGGGGCAGTGTATAAGCAGCACACTTTGCTTTGGCCTGCCCTACCCTGCTATGAATCCACGGGAGAGCTAGCAGCTTTCAGAGAGAAGGCTTTTCCTTCCATCCCAATTTGGCCTTCTGGCACTTGGGGCTGGGATGCTCTTGACAATTTTCATGGTAGTGTTTAACTAGCACACATTAGCTTTTGGGAGGGTGTTAGGGAGTTGGGGGGGGGACTTTACTGTGTTTAGTTGCTCCTAAAGCAGCAGGGCAGCATCTGCCACATTTATTCCTCATAGGCAACAAGCCAAGCTTTTTTCCCTTCCTTTTTCTCATACAAAGCTAAAGCCCTGGATGTTACCCTGGCTTCTAACAACACTACGTTGGTTTTGTCCTCCCACCACCAAAGTTCACAAGGCATGAGAACAAGATGTTAAACTGAGAATTAAAAAATCCAGCATCTTTTAATGAACATAAGTCAAAAACACTGCATGCATAATACGTTGAGACTTCTTTCCAAGGAAGTTCCCAACTACTCACCCTCCGGCCTCTGTGGATGCTGATCTAGTTGTTTAAGAGGAGCAAGTGTTATGTGCTAATGCAAGGTGTGTCTCTCCCCCACACAGGCACCCATTGGGTATAAGGCATTATTGGCTGGCCTTTTGGTCCAGCCCGTTTCAGAGGTGGTGCCATCCAAGACCTGCTCAGGTAGACCTTCCTCAGGAAACATGCAATTTCAGTCTGATCTTGCTCACCTCAGTGCCACTGTGCATTTTTGCTGGATTATTGTGTTGAGTATGGAAGGTTGATGGGGTCGGGGCTGTGCATTTGTGATGCTGAACTATGTGCATGGGTGCAGCTGAATCAAAGGCTGGGGAGGGATAAAGTTCAATGTGTGTTTCATTGGGTGTGAAAGCCCCCTTCCAAGTCTGACATTCAACAGAATTTTCCTTTTTGTAGCTAGAGTTCCCAACTAAAGACACCATTAATGTAGACTGACCACAGCTGAGTAGAACCCGCCCCCCCCCCAGCCAGGAGCCAGTAAAGCTGAGCCCCATTCCAGGGAGTGACTTAGTGGCTCTCGCCACCACCCCTCAGACCGTGGCTGCCCTTGTGCTACAGCCAGTATTGTTTGCTGCCGATGGGGGGCAGCTGATGGTGGAGCGGAGCTGCTGTCTGGTAGCTGGGGTCATAGTAGTCCCACTCCAGTCGTCCCGACCGCTGGCGATGCAACAGGGGGGTTTGGGGGCTTTCCTCGCTGTCGGAGGACAAGATTCTCACCGAGACACCTGCAAGACATTGGAGGCCATGCCGTTAACAGCCGCAAAGGCCCCTAGTCCTAGCAGTGATGGATCCTCCTGCAGATTTAATGCATTCTGAAGAGGTACAACAGATATTTTAAAGCTGGGGGACGGAAGGGAACCCCGGGAGAACTGAGCATGTTTGCTGGGCATCGGCCGCTGATCAGCTGTTGAAGATGGGTGGAGGGAGAAGGGACATAAAAAGGGCACGGCGGCCTGCCATCCGGAACAGCTGGCAGCGCTCTGCCCATCCACATTGGTTTTTGGCAGATCCCTCTCTCCTCCTCCTCTAGGAAATCCTGGCGTCTGTGTCCCAGCCTTTCGCTGGGAGCAAAAGAAAACCATGCCCAAATAAGAAGGGGGGGGGGTTCTGACAAATCTGGGGAACTCCCTCGGGGTACAAGGAAATAGAAGGTTGGCACTTGAAGGGGGGAAGAGAGGTGATTGTGGGAGCTTCCAGAATTCTCTCAAGGTCGAAGCCCAGAGACAAACGCCTGGAGTATTCTGAAGGGGTGGGGATGGGGGCTGCTGTTCCCGGGGGGGGGGACTCACGTGCAGCTGCTGGCCAGAT